GAGTTTACGTGTGTAATATTTCTCAGTTTAATTTATTCATAAAAAAAAAAAAGAAAAAGGAAGAAAACAAACAAGTTTCAGTTGACCCATCTGCCTCTATGAGCTACAATCTGATCTGCCTACATGTGGATGCTGTAGGTCACAGTCATGTGCAGAGGCTCAGGCAGATCCGAGTTGCTGTAACACTGCAAAGTGAAAGGCTGGGGGACCCTGCCCCGCCCCCTCCTGTCCTCTGTGCTCCTCTGCCCTTTTGTGCTTCCTGGGCACGTGCAAACATTTGACTAATCAGAAACAGGACAAGCCCAGGGACCCCTGTGCCCACAGCAGCCCAGCACAGCCATGCACCCCTTCACCACCCATGGCCACCTCCACCACCTGTGTGACAGCCTCTGAGGCAGCCATCACTGGGTGTCTGGTAAGGACCTCTGTGGTCAATCCTGTGGCATCCATCAGCCTGAGCTTTTGACATCAAGAATGGGTTTGGGGAGGAAAAATCAATTTACCCTATAACATGTATGTATATATTTGAAAGTGCAACCTGTCCAAGCAACAGAAAATGATCCAAACCCAGTTTCCAGTATTCCAGGTGAGTGTTCTGTGTCACCACTCCTCTGCTGCCTGTGCCCCCACACGTCCCTGAGCCTGGACAAATTCCTGGATCATGAGTTTGCCATCCTGCTCTGAGCAGCTTCATTGCCCAGACACCCATTGCTCAGACCCCCATGGCAGGTGATGTCCCCCCTCTGTCACACTGCCTCAGGCCACAGTGGGGTTTGCCAAATGCTCCCAGCAGGGAAGCTGGAGGGCTCCAAGGGTGCCAGGCTGGTGAGCTCCCTGGGCTCAGCGAGCACACTGAACAGTTCCCCTCTGTTCTCTTTCCATGTTTTGCACAGAAGCCAGGAACTGCCATGAGCTGCTGGGCAAAAAGAAGTTCCTGAGCGGCTGGTACACCATCTACCCCCAGGGCTGCAATGCCACCACTGTCTTCTGCAACATGGACACAGATGGTGAGGGATGGATTGTGAGTGGGATAGGAAGGCTTCTGTGTCCCTTCGGTGACTTTATGAAGGAGGCAAAGAATGGCAGCAGGATAGGAACAAAAAGGGAGAAAAACAATCATTGAGGGGACAGTTGAGTTTGATGCTAGTAAGGCTGGGTGATCTCTGTTGGAAGGGACCTCTAGAGATCACCTAGGCCAACCCCCGACTGGATGCAGAGGATTCTCATTGGAGACCTCTCCAGGAGCAGGCTGAACACCACAGATCCATTGGCTGATTTACCAGCAATGTGCTGATTTACAGCATGTCATAGAATCACAGAATGGTTTGGGTTGGAAGAGAACTTAAAGAGCATCTAGTTCCAACACCCCGGCATGGGCAGGGACCCCTCCCACCAGACCAGGTTGCTCCAAGCCCCATCCAACCTGGCCTTGAACACTTCCAGGAATGGGGCAGCCACAACTTCCCTGGGCAACCTGGGCCGGTGTCTCACCTTCACAGTGAAGAAATCCACCTTCTTCCAGTTTTAATCCATTCCCCCACCCTCTGCCCTTGTGAAAAGTCCTTCCCCAGCTTTCTTGCAGCCCCTTCAAGCACTGGAAGGTGCTCTAAGGTCTCCCCAGAGCCTTCTCCTCTCCAGGCTGAACAGCCCCAAGTCTCTCAGCCTGTCTGCATAGTAAAGAGGCTCCAGCCCTTGGGTCATCTTCATGGCCTCCTCTGCAGGAGATGTGTGAGCGAGGAATTTCCCTAGGTCCAGTCCCCAGAACCCCACAGGAGTGTCCCTGGGCTGGGGCAGCCCTTGTTGTGGGGGCTGTGCTGCAGATGTTTGTGGGGGTCTGAGGGTTTCCTTTCTTCAGGTTTTCCAGAGGTGCTGGGATGGGTCGGTGAACTTCTTGGGAGACTGGGACTCATACAAGCGAGGCTTTGGCAACCAGCTGACAGATTTCTGTCTGGGGAATGACAACATCCACCTCCTCACCTCTCTGGGTAAGCTCTGACTCTCTCCCAGGATCCTGAGAGTCCAACCCCTGTCCCACACCTGGTCTAGTAGAGGACTCTGAGCCTTTGGCATCCGTCTGAGTCCCAGCATTACCCCTAAGCAGCTCTTGCAGCCCATGGCACACGGTGAATCACACTCCAAAAAAAAAAGGAAACTTAGTAGCCAGTGAAGAGAATGAGCTGATTGCATGAGCTGTCCTGGAGATATGTCAACTCATCTGTCCTGGCTTAGTGGTCAAGGCAAATCTCTAATCAGAGGGCAGAATTGCTTTCTATTATCCCACACCCATCCTCCCAAGGGAAGATAAAAGGGAAGTAAGAGAGACTTAAAGATTGGAAACTGGAATAAATTCACTGTAACACGGAGAAAAGAAGTAACACAGGAGTAAAACAGATCTATAAACTCATATACAGATAGCCAACTGATCTCAGTGATGGCAGGAATTAGGAGGGTCAGAGTCCCTTGTGGCAAGGCCAGCTCAGGAGAGGGGTCCAGGGCTCCTCACAGCACCCAAAAGGATTGGATTCTGGCTGGTATGGAAAAGATGACACCAACACCCTTTGCACCGTGGTTGTGTTGCTCCTGTTACTTTGTGCCCACCTCACTGAAGTGGTGACTTAAGACACCAGATGAAACTGCCTCAAACTGAGGGCTTGAGGGGACAATGGACTCAAAACACCACCCTCTCATAGATAACACCTTGGTAAATTACTTGTAACTACAGGTTTATCATGCCAGCTATGCTGATAGAGCACAGAGCTGTTTATTCAGTTGTTTGTTGCCTTGGAAACACTGCACTTCAGCAGCACCACTCAGCAGACCCAGGAGGATGAAACACAGCAGCTGGGGCTGATGTGGAAAAGAACCGCTAGACTTTATTCCCAAATGGCATTTACAAAAACAAACCAAAAAAGACACCATGGAGGATGCAGGAGCACATGGCCCATGGGTCACAGCATGGCCAGGTCCAGCCATCAGCACCTGCAGAGTGAGCAGCTACCTGAGGGAAGAGGCAGAGGAGGCAGCTCCTGGTCAGGCCCAGCAAAGGTGAGGCCCCCTGCAGCGCACAGACCCTCCACCCACCATCACAGCTGCTTCAGTTCAGTGCCAGTAATCTGAGAGATTAAATTTGACCACTGACCTGGACTTGGTGTCAGACTGGCGTGAGGAAGCCAGGCCCTGCGCTCCCAGCATAGGGGCCCATACCTGGAGGGCATCTCAGCAGGATTCTCATGCTCACCTCTCCATTCAGCTCTCACCAGTGAAGAGAAACACTCAGTGCATAATGTGCATGCAAGAAATTCCCAGACCACCTCTACTTTCTGCAGACTCCCAACATAAGCTTTTCTAGTCCACATGGTACCTGCAGACAGTCTCTGTCCCACCTGCCTGTACAGGAGGCACCAAAAGTCCTTCTAGCAAGAACCTGATATCCTTCAGTCACCTGAGGTCCAGCATGTGGCCTCACAAGAGTGGATGGGGCATACGGCAAGCCCAGAAACAGTTCTGATCCACCACAGCTCAGACTGTGCTTGCTAATGCTGTCCTCTGTGCAGAAAATATCCTGCCCTCTCAACCCCCCTGCCCCACCCCAGATCTCTTTAATCCTTGAGCAGGCTTCTTACCCCTGAGCAGATAAATAAAACCAGATCCTCCTTCATACCACAGCATCATCAAAGTGTATGCAACTCCACGTGCCTTCTCTGCTGTGTCCCAGCCCCATGGTTTTTGCTCTGCAGACCAGGCAGATATACGGCTGGAGGAAGGACCAGCCCAGCCTGTGGAAGGGCACCACCAGCCTTGCTGGTCCTGAGAAGGGGGTGGTCAGCAGGGAATCAGTATGTTGAGGGATCTTCCTTCAGTTTACTCTTTTGCGGAGGCAGTGGGGCAGAGGAAGAACAGACTCTGGCAGACCAGTCAGCATGGGAAAGGCTGGGGAAGGACTTTGGGAAAGCACTACCTCTAGCCAGGAAGTAAGCTGAGGTATAAAACTGTCACCCTTTGGGTGTTGGGACATACTGTTGGATTTCTCATCCTCAAGTCTAATCCTCTATGGAAGAAGAGCCATAGGGAGCCTGGGAAGCCTTGGGAGGTTGCAGTTAACTACTCAGGTCCATCTCCAGGTAGCCAGATCTACACTCTGTGATTTTCATCCAGCAAACTGCTGTGATGCTGGTGGTGTTCCAGTCCATTTCACTCCAGCAGTCTGAAGTCTCCAAACTGGTACAAGTCAAAAAGTGGCAATTCTCCATCCTCCACGTTGAAAAGCTTCCCCTATTGTCAGTCTTTTGCTTCTCAGGGCTTTGCTCTCCCTACTTGGCAGCATCCAGCTGGGATCTACTTGCTGGGCACCTCCTTGCAGAGCAGGAGGGGTTTTTTTGCAAGTAAGTCAGTATCCCACAAAAAGCACAGCATCTCTGGGGAACGAGGATGCAGAAGCCCCTTGGAGATTTCGTGGAGCTGGTGACCCTGATGCCATTCAGTGAATTGCATTCCAACTCCTGATTCCTTGTGATCCCTGGTGAAAACGCTCTGTGCTCCTCATTCGGGCTGTCCCAGCACACCACTGACACTCCCTGTGCAGGCCCCATGGCAGCGATGTTGGGCTATATGATACCAAATCCAGCTCTGAGAGCTTGAGCTGAGGTCCCAGCTAGGTCTACCACTACAAGCTGTAAGTTGAAGGCCCCTTGGGCTAAACGATGCACAAATACTTTTTGGTGGACAGATGAATGATCCCTGCTCCAAGAGCTTACAGTCTACAAGAACAGAGCCACAGTTCCACCACTACACAGACCTATTTAGACCTACAGACATCTTGGTCCCAGCAGAACACAGCCTTCACAGGAATGGCCCAGCAATCAGCTGATCTGCAGGCAGGGACTCAACTGTCCACTTCTTTGTCTTCATTTGCAAAGCCAAACCATTTCTAGCCATTGTTCTTTCCACCTCTGGTTTAGGTCCACAGCCCCAGTACCCTCCTCTGGCCCTAAGAGATATGTGTTATACTAAGTCCTTTCCTGGCTGCCTGAGCCCTGGGGTCCACGAGGGTGTCCCACACAGCTGAGAATGTGATGGGTACTGGGCCAGCCAGAGAAATGGATTGTGCTGGACCCAGCTCTGCCTTGTTTCAGCCTCACAGGCTGGTGGCACTGTGCTCATCACCGTGTCTGCAGCAGGACGAGAAGGGGGAGGCAGATCCCTCCATCCCTGAGCCACAGGGGTGGTGGGGGGAAATCCAGACTGATGTGATGCTGGGACATGTATCTGACAAAGCTTTTCTGAGGGGAAATATTAGTTACTAGTTCATCTCTTAATAAGGCACACCTAGCCCATTGCCCCAGCTGGCACAGGTTGGCACCTGGGGGTGACCCTGGCTGACTCCCCAAGCCTTGCCAGATGCCCCCACACCTGGGTGCCCCCAAGCAGGATGCCATGAGACCTCTCCAAGCATCTCTGGTCCCACATGGCTGCCAGACTGCTGCTGTAAGGCCTTGAATTGTAAGGCAACGCTGAGGCCCACCAAAGCACCCCAGAGCCCCTTCTCCTTCACACCACACAGACCTCAACCCCACGAGAGCGATTCCCTGAGGCCATGGGGATAGAGAAGGGGACGTCCCTGTGTCAGGGGGCAGGGGGAACCAGAAGAGGATGTTTTTCTCAGGGATTTAGGAAGTATCCTCAAGGGAATTCATGTCCCTCCAGGATCTTTTGCTTTCAACAAGCAAACAGACAAAGGCTGTCTGGTGTCTGAATTACATCTGTTAAAAACTTTAGCTAGGAAAAATGAACCCTTGGTAAGTCCCTTCTGCATTTTTAACCATGTTTTCCATCCAAGAAATTAGAGACCAAGACTATGATTAAATAAACATCAGTGCATCACTTGGCTCTTCCCTTCCCCACCTTCCTTCCTCACTCCTGACCCCTGGACAGTTCATTTACAGTTTTGGACAATCCTCTGCTGAGCATGACAGGAGGCCGGCAGCTCAGCTGGAAAGCTGATTGTCCCTCTTAGGCTCCAGGTTCTCCGCAGCATCCTCCAGCTCATCCAGGATTTCAGAGAAAGATGGCCTCTTAAATGCTTCCACCTGGAACAAGAAGGGAAAACTGAAGAGGACACCCCAGCCAGGAGGTGGTTGCTCTGTGTCAGCTCTGATGGGTGCTCCAAGGCCAGGTGATGGCCTCCACCCGTCACTGGTATGGGTCACACACCTGCCTGTGGAGCCTTCTGGCATCACCCACCAACTGGTCACCTGGGCCTGGGCTGTTGCAAATGGCCACAGGACACGTCCCCCAGTTTAGGGGCAGCGAGATGCTGAAAACTAGCCTGAAATTCCCTAAGTGGGACAGGGTGTGGGAACAGCTCATCCCAAAGTCCACCCTAAGGGTGCAGTGACCAGCGCTGTGCAGGAACAGCTGCAGACAACTGTCACAAGGGAGATGGGTCATTCCCTGAGCTTCGTCACAACAGTCAGGATCTAACTGTCTTGTCTCCTTGATGCAGCTCATCCACAGGAGGCTATGACCCCCAGTGCCATTTGGGTGTACACAAGGGGAGGGACATGGCCTGGATACCCCCATCCCACCCTCTATTCCTGAGCTGCCTGACCTCACAGAGCCAGCAGCAGGAGCAGCTCCAGAAACACCCCCCCCTCCACCCTGGAACATGGCACACAACAGAGAACAGCCCAAGGGCCCTTCCTGGCAGAAGCCCGTCACTGTACCCAGGCTGTATTAAGGAGGATGCTCATGGGAGGTGCAAGATCTGAACACACAGAAATCTAAGTCAGCTGCTGCTGTGAATCATTGCAGGGATTCAGGAGTTATTCACATGTCCTTGGCCCCTTGCAAGGATTTACCCACATTTGCTGCTTTCACCTCCTAGCAATTAGGTGCATGATGAGCACCTAGCTTCTCCATTCTCTGCCTGATTGCTGTCTTTGTTTTCCCCTTCCTTTCAGAGATTAACTCGAATCATAAAATCACAGAGTGGTTTGG